CCCGGCGCTTCCGTTCTCCTCTCTTGTCTGCAGGTGGCGATGGCAACGGGGCAGGTGTTGTTCCAGCGGTTTTTCTACTCCAAGTCTTTCGTCAAACACAGTTTCGAGGTAAGTCGGCGGAGGCGGGCGAGAAAGGGATTGCTTCATCCGGAAGCGGGAAGGAAGGGGTAGTAACCAGCTTTTCCAGAAAGGGAGTGGTTAGCCTAGGCCTTTGTACCTAGTTCCTACCCATAAGGAAACGGGGCCCTTAGAACGTGTTTCAAGAACTAGAAAATGGATCCTGAGCCCACGTGCTCTGTTATCAAGAGCTGCATTTCCAGGCACAACTCTTGGCTTGATTCGGGTCCAAAATTAGAGCAGTTGAGTAATAAAAACATATATAGCTGGTAAGCCCCGTGCTCTAAAAATGTCGCCCTTGGTTTCATCTCGCGCCAAAAGACCCGTTGTACCCTATAGAGATAGTTTCTCTTTAAAAATAAGTTCGTTAAAGCCTAGCAGTGGTGACCCACGCCTTTAATCCCAGCACTTGGGAGGCTGAGGCAGGCGAATATCTGGGAGTTTGAGGCCAGCCTGGTCTACAAAGCTACATAGAGAAACCCTGTATCGAAAAACCAAATATACACATATATAATAAGTTTGTTAGACTTTGGGCCGGGTTGTTTCCAGTTTGACTTTTGTTATAAGTTTTGTCCCCTCCTGGGTTCTTTCAGATTGTTGCCATGGCCTGTATTAATCTTGCATCAAAAATTGAAGAAGCACCAAGAAGAATAAGAGATGTGATTAATGTATTCCACCACCTTCGCCAGTTAAGAGGAAAAAGGTAAGATTGGCCTATTGAACATATTATTTCTTGCTACTTACTGCTGTTGTACACCAATCATCAAGTCAAAACATCTTTTTTTTTCTCGAGTCAGTATGGATGCAAAAGAAAACTGACATTAGGTGTTGAAATTCACATAGAAACACTGAAACTTAAACTTTCAGAAAACCCTCAATTAACCAGCTATCTAACTGTAGAGGCAGTTGCATTTGTGGACAATCCTAGCAGTGCTGTGAAGCCAGTCCCTTGGCTTAGACAAGAAAGGGAGTACGGTTGGCTCAAGTGGGAGTGTATTCTGTAAGTTATTTTTCCCCTCCCTTCTCTGGAAAACCGAAGGCTGGATGTGAAAGTGCTGTAGTTCAAGTTAATATTGTGGCCAAGTTCTGTGTAGGTTGTTATTCTGCTTGGAGTCCCAGTTTCTTCATCATTTGAGGTTGGCTTTTGTTAGAGTACTTCTCAACATTGAACTACGATATATCGAATAATACCGGATCTGAAAGGACTGGAGGATGATAAAGTTTGAAGTTTGAAGTCAAAGGGATTGAACAGGTATTCTGTTTTGGTCAGATACAGTCTCAGTGAGTGGGTTAGAAAAATAACCAATTGATTGAGTTGCCTTCAGGTAGGGCTGTTTACTTGATCTTGTAAGAAAATCCAGTCTGAAACGGTATCTTTGAAGTGTAGTGATAATCTGGTAACTATGTGGGCCTATCTATCTATGCCTTTATGGCAGTACCAAAGTTTGTTGCAGGACCCTGTTCTACAGGTGATTCTAGGACACGATGATGGATATTCATGGTGTAGATTAGTTTCTGAGGAATTGTGATGAGTTTCAAAGGAGTTAGCTATGAAAAGACAAATTGTTTTGGGAGCTGGATGTTGCTTAGTCCAAGTGAGTATCATACATAGTCTTTATTGGTGGAATCTATAAGTTGGTGGCAGTGAAGGTAGTAACTAGATAGACAGATACTAAAGTGAGTTTAGTCGTCAAAAATTGCTGCGCTGATTTTTTAATAGCTTTTTTTCTCCATAACTTTTCAGCCTCATCTTTTCTCAGTGTGTTCCCAGATATAATTTCTTTTGTTTGAAAGTGTTTCGTGAAGAAAGTAGAGGAAGGGGGAGATTTCCAACTGGTGTTTAGTATGTTCTGAGCTTGTATTTGTATTTAGATATGTGGCTGAGTTTTTTCATGGTGTTTTTTTAATGAAACACTCAAAATAAAGAATTCTTTAAAGGACTCTGAAAAGGACATTTTCTAGTATATGAGTCATTGGGCCAACTATAATCACATCTTGGCATTTTCCTATGGGACTTAACTTTCCTCCTTCCTTGGTGTCAGAATAGGATCATCTTAGCTATAAACCTTCAGAATTCAAAATAATTCAATCTGACTGACTTGTGTTGGCTATAACTGCATTTTTGGTCATCATTAAAGAGAAATTGCTTTTGTAATGTTACAAGTTGATTATAGCATGAAATTCTTAAAGAAGTTAATTGCATGGAAGCCCCCCCTTTTAAAAGCAGGATATAAGTGTTTCTATGCATATTACAAGTTTACTCAAACATGTGACTTGTATATGTTATTAACTTCAACTCTTTTTTCCCTTGCAACCGACTATACAGCGACCAGCTACATTTACCAAAGCCTGGGTGATGTGGAGTGGTACATAGAGATGAAGCTGTCGTCATGGCAACAGTGAGTGAAGTATCGAAAATCCCCAAGGAGAAGCCAGTGTTCTGAGAATAGGTCACTGGAATCGGGGACTAACAGGTTGGCCACTGGTGAACCATTTAGAGAAAAAAACAAACAAACAAAAAACTCCTGTTTCTTGTTATAAGCTTTTTTCTTTGCTGTCCAAGTTATTAAAACTATAGCTTAGTGTAATGTGTTTTGTGTTCTTTGCATAGGGTATCAGTAGAAAGTATTGATAAATGTTATACTCTACTTTGTTTTGAGAATTTTAGTACAATTTGTGAATGCTAACTAGGTTACTCTATGGTCTTAACAGCTACATCGGGCACATTAATGTAGCCTTCAAGACTCTGTTTTTAGTTATGGCTACATGAACAGTAAATACCAATGTCCAGTCCTCAATATTTGACTTGCGTGTGCCCAGCCCCCGCCTCCATGGATTTTTTTTTTTTTTTTATAGTTTGATCTTCACAATAGCTGAATTTAAAGGAAAGGAAAAGCTATTCATACCAGTAGTTTATAGATAAAATTTGCTGATATGTAACATTCCCAGCATGTTAAGATTAAGAGTTTTGCTTTAAAGAAGTCTGTGTTCATGTCTTTAAGGTTTGTGTTACAGGATAAGTTTGTAAAGTTTTAACTACTTTTATTGGTGACTGTTTGCTATTTTCAACGTATAAAAGTAAGAATTGGAAGGTTCTCATCAGTGTTGACATTTTATCTAACCATCTGTAGTTTATTTCTTTGGTTCTGGGGTAGCTTAAGTTTTGACATTTAAGGAATGTTTCAAAATAAGCATTAGAAATTTTTCTGTGTTGAGTAGGAATCTTGTCTCCGTGTGTTTCAATTACCCATCTGGTGGATAGTATATTCCTTTTACTACTTCCATAGTGTCAGTCCTTATAACACTTGAGGAAAGCTAACTATTCTTGAACCCCCTAGTTCTAACTTTTTGTCATTCATGTGCTGTGTTTCAGTCATACTATAGAAAGTAGCTATCACATAAACTTCTAATAAACAAAGACCAAGATGTCCTAAAGATTGAAATTTTGTTTCAAATAGGTTAATGAGTAAAGTCTGGTAATAAAGAACCTTCAGAGGTGGAGTTTGGTTGTTGGGAGTGATGTTGATAGATATTCCTGAGTTCTGAATAGTTGAGACTTAATGCCCCCAGCTTTAAGTGTTCCCTCTTCATCTAGTGTTGATCAAGGATGTTTAGTTGATTGGGAGGAAATAATACCAGGCCTTGATTCTACTTAAAATGTATTTCTAAAAATACTTCTGATTGGTTACTTTGTTAATATAAAAAGCTTTTTGCTTAAATGCTTTTTCAGAATCTTTGCTTGCTGTTTTGTCATGGTATAAAGCTCTGTTAAGGTAGTTGTTAATTTTGTACTCATTGAACTTGCCTTGTTTTATGAAGTAAATCAATTCTAAACAAAAGGAAGATAAAAGATGCATTTACAAAGCTGACTTGGAAAATTGGTAGTGGCAAGACTGAACAAGAAACTTAGATGGTTGAGTTGTAGAAGGTAATGGATTTACTTCCTTGGTCTATATTTAAAATGGTGAGACATGGAATTTAAGATTCAAGATCTCACTGTGGTAGTTTGGGGTGGCCTGAAATTTATGACTCTTGTTTGTTCCTTAACCACTTCACTCCTGGGATTAAACAAAGCCTATGCTTTTACATGTTCTTTGGAATTCTGATGTGCTTATTTCAAAGTAGTAAATCTCAGATACTTGTTTAAGCAGAATTAGTGATAAATCCTTAAATTCAACACCAGGTGGTAGCCACAATTGAAAAAAGTTGTTCGCCTGCTTAATCACAAATTTATTGCCATTTAAAAATAACTATAAAGCAGTTTTCTTATTAAGATATAGTATAAACTTTAATGCATGAAGAAAAGTGAGACAGAACTTGGCTTTTGTGAACTATTTGTATAGGGATTTTAACAGTGCTGTTTGCTGTCTGGATTTCAGGGGTTAAGAGCTAAGCTGTGTACAGATAAAAACTGGAGCCTCTTTGGCTCCTAATACCAGTTGAAGGACAAAACCTTCTAATCAGTCTGTAGTGGAATTGTCTTCAAAATTTCTTGTAACGTGCAGAGTAGTGGTGGTGCACACCTTTAATCCCAGCACTTGGGAGGCAAAGGCAGGCCAGTCTCTGGCAATTCGAGACCAGCCTGGTCTACAAGAGCTAGTTCCAGGACAGCCTCCAAAGCCACAGAGAAACCTTATCTCAAAAAAAAAAAAAGTGCATATAAAACGTCAAAATCATAAACCCTTACATAGTGTCACTTTGGAGTATGTTTTCATACATACATTAGTTCCCATTTGAGTTAAATTTGACTTTTTTCCTAAAGTGCAGTTTGCAGCTATTTGTCCTGATAAAACTGATTCAAAACTGGCCATTCTCCCACTTAATTGCCTTAAAATTTCTCAGACTTTGAAGATGTAGTAGCAAATGAACTTGAAACAGTTTTTCATCACTTTGAAACTGTTCGTGATGATGTTACTTCTGCCAACTATTCGCAACTATTCGTGGTTTAACACAAAGTTACAGAATAACAGTAACTATTTTGCTTTTTAAGTGAAAATAAGGAAAATATAAAATACCTTTTTTTTTTTTTTAAACTCTGATAGTCTGCTATCCTCAACACACCTGATGGTAGTGGAGGAAGTCCTTGAAGTCTATCTCCACATTCCTCTGCTCCTACCCCTGTATAGTGCTGGGCTTAATGAGTGTGAGCTACTACTCCTGGCTCAACATTACAAATTAGATTGTTTTATTACCTTTAAGTGGTTATGCTTAAATAGACTGTTTTTGAGCAGGTTGTATATTGATGTATTCAGGCAGTGTATTCTGTCTAGAACGTAAAACTTGCAACTTGATTGAAAATGAATTGAGTATTTGAGAAAGCATTTAGATGTTATTTTACCCATTTATTAATTGTGTAGTCCTTAAGAGAAATGGGTACATCTTGCTAGTTAGAGGTAAGAATGTATCAAAAAGCATGGTAAAGAGAAGCCACATTGCACTTACCTCTAACATGACCAGCTCCAATGGGTGGGAGCAGGATGAACTCCATAGCAAGATTGTATTTTTTAAAAAAGAAACAAACTTACATGATGTACGTGAGATGACTTTTTATATGAGTTGGCTAAGTGTCCTTTCTAAACTCTCATGAAAAGAAAAGCACCTTTGGGGAAATCCTGCTCAAAATGTGGTCTGGTTTCAGTTCCCTCTCTGTGACCTTACATCTCAGAGGAGCTACATTGATGGAGTTAACCCAATTTACTCTTAACACACACCATTTAAAATATATATATATATATATATGTATATATATATATATATATATCATTTGACAATTGAGCTAATTTGGATTTTTTTTTGTTTTTTGTTTTCTCTTTTGGCCAGGGGTGGGTGGCTAATTAAGCAAACAAATACTTTGTATATTTGGGGTGTTTTTGAAAAAGAGAAAACAGAATTAACTCTCTCCCCCCACCCCAATTTGACTGTAAATTTAGCAAAGGATTTACTCAAATTTTTTAAATTTTTGTTCATATTAGAACTTTATAGTAAATGGGATCACATTGGTTGTTGTCATTGGGAAGTTTTTGGGAGGCTGATTGCCAGTAATGTGTATTACTGAAGTTAAGTGCGTAAGTCGAAGAGGAAGTCAGACCTAAGAATATGTAAGTACTTTTTTAAATTGTGTTAGTTTTAGGAGCTTTGTCTAGTTGCATATAATTAGCAATAACTTGGACAGCATAAGATTAATGCTTTAACTTGTTAGCAGGAGTTTAAAAAGCTGGTTTCTGTTGCCAATAGTTGGTTGGAAGGGAAAATGGAGATGCCACAAATAAAAGGTTTTGGATGTGCAAAACAGTTTTGATTTTATTTCTTACAAACTATAGGACTCCAAGCCCTCTGATCCTTGATCAGAACTACATTAACACCAAAAATCAAGTTATCAAGGCAGAAAGAAGGGTGCTAAAGGAGTTGGGATTTTGTGTTCATGTCAAGCATCCCCATAAGGTGAGTAATAGAATGCAGAAATTACATTTCGTAAGTATTAGGGCTTTTCCTAAAATTTTTACTTGTTTGTGTGGAGAGTTTTCAAAAGCTTTGTTTTGGATGTTGATGTTTGTCAGTAAAATAGGACTCAAAACAGGCTTTATTATTTGTCATTGTGTGATTGTGAATATTTGTGGTTAAATTCTTGTTTTTCTACCTAACAAGATCATGTGGTGACTTCCTCATGTAAGGAATGAATTGTGTAGAAACTGGCACGTTAAAGTGTTGAAAATGGTTGCTGCTCACTGTAAACCATTAATAAAAAGCTTTCTCTTTTGGCTTTCATATTACCCTTCTGAACAGTAGTTGGAAAAATTCAACTATTGGAGATAGCTAGCCCTGCTTTTAACTGGGTGACACTGGCTGGTATCTTTAAGTTATATTTTTCTAATATCATAAAGTGATGATAATCTGAGTCCAGAAACACTTTTGACATGAACTAAAGTAGTTATGCTTTTGGTGTGTCTTCCTGGGAACCAAATGCAAGGCAACATTGTATCATTGAGTTATATGTAGCTTTTATTTAAGAAACTTTAGTATGCTAAGCTTTACTGCAGAAATTAATTACTGCAGTGCTGGGTGTTCTAGAAATGTGCTGTGGCCATTGTGTATACTCAGAGTAGAAATTCTGCCCTTTTTTGATGAATGTTAGAAAACAGAGTTATTAACCACATCTATAAGTACATTTTTATAGAATTGAGCAGTTAACACTGAGTGTTATATGTTGGCCTATATTTGAAATTTTATAGTAATTAAAACTGTAACACTTTAGATGCTTTATTCATTGAACTCTGCTGTGAAAGAACCACCAATACACTAAATGGTTTTTTTCTTCCTTGTCCTCAGATCATTGTAATGTATTTACAAGTCTTAGAATGTGAACGTAACCAAACCCTGGTTCAAACTGCCTGGTAAGTTGCTTTTTTACATTTCTTCTTTAGTCAGGAAAACAGAAGCAGAAATAAAGTAAGTTTCATTTTTTTCTTTCCAAAATAATGAAATAAGTTTGTTTTGGGGCATTTTGTTTTTGTTATTTTTTAACCAAAAGGTAAATAATGCTTATTTCTGCTTCCTGTTTTCTTGGCTTGACTAATTATTTTTAATGGAGAACTCAATTTAACTTTGTTCTTTTTTCTACTCTTTAATTAAAGGGTAGTCCATGATGGTAAGTCATAGAACTCTGCCCTCTGAACTTCAGCCCATGACCTCAGGATGGCCTGATTGGCTAGCCTGCTCTCCAGCCAATCCAGTGCAAGCTCTCATCCGAGATTCACTGAAGTGGTCCATATCCATCTGGCAGCATCTTCTAGTTCTGTCGGGGTGTCAAAAGGATTTGTATATTTGCTTCTAGAAGTAACTATGCATCATGCCTATGTATTTAATGTATACCTGTAACTATCAAAATGAATATTTCATTTTTGATAGATTGTTGTCCAGCCATTATGAACTGTTTTTTTTTTTTTTTTTTTTAAATTGGGTTCAATTAAATTTCTACTTGAAGTGTATAGCATCCATTCTACCAAAGGAGGCTACCTTAAGTTTGTAGCTTTAAATGGATACCTGTTGCCATTTTAGGTTACTCCAGCTATAGAACCATTGCAGGCAGTGATAAGAAGCATTTTAATTTTAAAGAAGTTGATGTTATTTAAATGTTTTTGAAGTTGGGCCTTTGAGATACAGAGAGGTTAAGCAAGGAAATTGTGGTTTAGTCATAAGTGATTCATAAGACTGTTGATAAACAAGCATTAAATAATTCTGGACTTCTCCAGAATGTGTTTTTTTTTTTTTTTTTTTTTTTTTTTTTTATGACTGCCATGCCTTTCTTGGACTTGGTAGATAACTGGTAACATTAGAAAAGCCACATTGCTTTATAAAATGCATGACTTTTTAATGTGTTCTGTGCAGCAAAAAAAAAAAAAAAATTAAAGTTTTTAACGAGTGTAAGGATTTTAGAAATAATCCATTTAATTTCCAGCTCAGGCTTTTCAGCAAATTACAAAGTTTTTTATTTAGTTAAAAAAATTCATAGGAAAGTTTCACTAGAAGTTTATTTAGTTAGATCATTGCTTTTGTTTATGCTTAATTGCAAAAAGTTATGTTGACAAGGCCATTATGATGTGTATTTATTGTTTACTTTTCTACCTTGATTTTTTTTTTTTTGAAGTTTTTTTTACCCCCTTCTAACTGTAAGAGTAACTTGGTGAGTTCTTACTAAAAATACCTTTTTACCCCTGTTCCTGGTATTGAATTTTTTTTTTTTTTGAAAGAACTTGGTTGACACTGCTTTTTATTATGGATAAAGGAGAGATGGTCAGTAACTAATGGCTTGAAGTATTGTTGGAGTGGTAAACTCTTAAACTCATTATATCAGAATTGACTTCAAAATCATTGCCTTTTATAACAATATGTTGAAAGGATTTTAGGGGTAGATCTATATGCTAATATGGAATTGTTTACAAGTGCTATGGGGGGAGGGTTAGAAATTGTTATCATGGTACAATTTAAAGATGTGAACATAAGGAGAAGAAAAAAGAATGAAGTAGATTGAGTCTCCAGTTTTATGTGCACTTCAGAAGAATTGATTTGCTTATGGACTAAGCTTATAGCTGAAATGTTTTTCAGGAATTACATGAATGACAGTCTTCGAACCAATGTCTTCGTTCGCTTTCAACCAGAGACTATAGCATGTGCTTGTATCTACCTTGCAGCTAGAGCACTTCAGGTAAGTGCTGGGTTTTACAAAGTGAATTCCAAGAGTTTTGTTACTTCTTAGAAGAGCGTAAACTTGAACCATTCTTTTTTTAATCATTTAGATTCCATTGCCTACTCGGCCACATTGGTTTCTTCTTTTTGGTACCACAGAAGAGGAGATTCAGGAAATTTGCATAGAGACCCTTAGACTTTATACCAGGAAAAAGGTAATTTCGGTTACTCAGTTTGGTGCTGATGTCATTTCCAAGAATCTAAAGGGAATACTAACTTGATTTTCATCCAACAGCCTAACTATGAATTGCTGGAAAAAGAAGTAGAAAAAAGAAAAGTAGCCTTACAGGAAGCCAAGTTAAAAGCAAAGGGATTGAATCCCGATGGAACTCCAGCTCTTTCAACCCTTGGTGGATTTTCTCCAGCTTCTAAACCATGTAAGTTACAATCATAATTGAATAAACTATAACCATAGGAAGAAGTGTATGTTGCTAGATCACTTGGCGTTGGTCAGTTGCTTAGAGATCAATTAAGAAATTGTTAATGGGTGTTTTGGGACAAGTCAGCCTAAGGGTCAGAAGTGGAAGGAGTACTTTTAGGTTGTATTGGAAACTTGTTCTCTGCTAAATCTTGCCCTTTTGTCCTTGTCTATTAAAAGCCTCACCAAGAGAAGTAAAAGCTGAAGAAAAATCGCCAATCTCCATTAATGTGAAGACAGTCAAAAAAGAACCCGAGGATAGACAACAGGCTTCGAAAAGCCCTTATAATGGGTAAGTGTGCTTCAAGGGCTTGGGTATTTATTGCTAAATCTTTGTGCATATCCTAAAACAATGTAAAAAACACTGCCTGCATTTTCTTTAAGTGTAAGAAAAGACAGCAAGAGAAGCAGGAACAGCAGAAGTGCTAGTAGATCAAGGTCAAGAACCAGATCGCGCTCTAGATCACACACCCCAAGAAGACAGTGAGTAATGGGTCCTGTGTGGTGGAGCGGGCTTAAGACCTTTGAAAAGTGAACGAGAGCTTTAGGCTAGGAGGAAGTATTTGGGTTTTTTGTTGGTATAGCAGGTGTGTGTGTGTGTGTGTGTGTGTGTGTGTGTGTGTG